GTTAAAAGCAAAACTGAATACCCCCTTTTACACACATTTGCCTTTTAACTCCAGACATTCCTTTACAGATATTTCTGTCTCACTGTCACTGCTAGGACTCAGCCTTGGATTTTATTCACAGTTGTAGGAAACTGTAACACAACTCAGACCAAATCATGGCCAAGCACTGTCCAAAGGAATAGGCTTAAGCACTTCGTCACTCATCCCCTGGAGGACATGTAGACTGCCTTGCACATAATCTCTAGAGCTTTTACAGTTCATCTGTTACACATTGGATAGTTAGCATTTGCTTTAAACTAAGCTTTGCAAGGAGAAAGCATGATCTCAGTAACACTATCCTCAAAAATGCTGCTAAGAGAAAAAAGCCTACCAGCAAGCCACTGAAGCTAAGCTGCCAGCTGCAAGCTCTGGATAAAGACAGAGGTCTGCAAAAGTTTCCAAAGAGATGTATTTACAATGTATCGGATGGTCACATAGTCAAATTTTAACTGAGCCAGTGAGACGTGCAAAATATTCGCTAAAAAGTGCAGCTTTCAGGATCTCAGCACTCACAGTCATAGGGCACATACCCAAACGACTGGGACAGGACAGTCCCATGGCTAAAATAAAATCAATAATCAACCCTAAGATAGAAATACATCTACATTTATGGTAAGGTTATAGTGATTGGCTGTGAGAGCTACCAGGCATCCAGCCAATTTGCTTTTCCAGTCTAAAGAAATGCTCGGTTTGTTTGAAAAATGACTTTTTTTCCTGCTGTGAAGAATGCATTGACGTCATCAAACTGGGCCTGCTGAACAAGAGCCTGCTGAACAAGAGCCTGGGCATCAAGAAGCTGAACTGTGGGAGTAAGGGTACACATCTATTTTACCTTTCAGTGCCAGGGACAGTTCCCAGGTCTTATTCATCCCCTCTAGAAGAGAACTGCTAATGGGATAAGTGACTTGTAACAAGTTTCCGCTTCCTGCTGTTTTTTTTTACAGCAGTCACACACACACACAGACCAGAGAAACAGAGGCTCCTGAGATGCTCCCGCTGAGAGGTCTTTAGTTAAACACAGCTGCTACCCTGGATCTCACCTGGGTTCAGACATCATCTATATCCCTCATTCCAGCAGTCCTACTACTGATACTTCTATCACCAGTGAGAGTTTTACATTTACTCCCTTCCCTATCCCCTCTTTTTTATTTTTAAATACACCATCATCTGTGGCTCTGCATGTCAGATTATCCAACTACTATTTCTTCTGACAGCAACATGCTGGAAATCTCCAATCTGTTTGATTAACACCACACAGCAGCAGCCTTACAGAACAACACAGGAAGCAGCAGAGTTTGCAAACTTCTGAGTTGACACACTGCTTTCCCATTTCTATGCTGCCATGCCAACAGGGTGTTTGGGCCCACCCAGGGCCCTGCTACCACATCATCTGTCCAAGATCCTTTCACTATTACCACCAACCTAAGTGCTTATCAGTAGCACTTTAGAAAGGGTGAAGAGCAATCCTGAGATTTTACAAACAGGCCATATCACAGTGCAATGTAAAAGCCAACACAGTCACTGAAGATCATTACTAATATTCTCTCACATTTTCTTCCCTTTTCATTCAAATCAGGTTGCCAAAATACAACTGTTATCCTCCTTAAATTGGACTTCAGGGCAAATCTATTGTCTACTGAAGAACAGCCAACATATTCAAAACCAGAAAATGCAAGGTTAAGAGATGAAGACAATTATATTGAGTTCATTACCATTCTAAATTTCTAGAGATCCTACATCTAGCTCACTAATGTACGCCAGGTGTAAGTCTTCTGTGCAACAATGTTCTAAAGTGCATTACAGGTCAAAGGAGAATTTAAGTTTGATGGAAGCACTTTGGTTAAATTATATTGTTTTAATCTAAATTGCTCAATTTTAGCACAAAAAAAAAAAAAAATGTGTTAAATAATCACCAATACACAGAAACCAAAACAAAATTGAGTATTAAAAAAATAACAATATATTTTAATTAGGAAAGAAAAAGAAAAAACAAAACCAAACACCAACAATGTGTAACAACCAAAGAACAAAGTGGTAGAAAGCAAGTCAGATCTTATGCTTTTCCCCCCAGAACACAAATGTGGATTCAATGTTTTGAAGTTCAGACCAATATAATGCACAGACCCCAGGTTTGTGCTTATTTCACTGTGACATCTTTCCTTCATCTAAGAGACAAAGTGTGATGGCCTTCTCAAAATTTAAATGTTCATAATGTCATAATACCCTGATGGAGTCAGTTTTAATCTGTTCAAGTAGGCTTCTGGGTGAGAAAGAAAGTTTAATCCCAATTAAGGCTTGAATATAAATTCCCAAAACCAGAACACTGCAGTAATATGTTTAAACTCATCCCTATGCCATTTTTGCAGCTATTTTTAACAGATTTTTTTATTATCAGTGCCTGCATGCAAGCACGGAACAACAATAAAACCCAATGCACAAATCACAACAGCGCAGTGAGTAGATCAACAACTTCACCTTAGATTCAAAATCTTACATTTCTAAAGGTAGAGCTGCAAAGAAGCCAAAAAACTCAGGCTGCTACATGGTAACTGTTTCTTGAGTTTGATCCTTCTGAAATCTGCTCCCAATTTGCATATTAGGAAACACGCAGGGACATCTGCTGGTAGAAAAAATTATGCAGCCACCCAAAGAGATTTTGATATACTCAAAAGGTGGGCCTATGGGAACTTTATGAGGTACAACAAAGCCAAGTGCAAGGTGTTGTAATTGGGTGAGGGCAATCCCAGATATGATTACAGAGTGGAAGAACTCCTTGAGAGCAGTCCTGTCAAGCAGGTCTTGGTGGATGAAAAGCTGAACTTAAGCCAGCAGCCCATAGGCCAGCTGTAATCCTGGGCTGCAGCAGAAGAGGAGTACCCAGCAGGATGAGGGGGGTGATTGTCCCTCTCTCCTCTGCTCTCATGAGGTACCACCTGGAGTATTGCATCCAGACCTGGGGCCTCCAGCACAGGAAAGATGTCATGCTTTTGGAGAGAGTCCAGAGTAGGGCATCAAAACACTCAGAGGGCTGGAGCACCTCTCCTATGAAGACAGACTGCAGAAGCTGGACTTGCTTTGGAGTTTTGGAGATGAGAAAGCTCCAGGGAGACTTCATTATGGCCTTTTAGTATATGAAGGGACATTATAAACAGGAAAGAAATCAACTTTTTACATGGGTAGATAGTGATAGGACAAGTGGTAATGATTTTAAACTAAAGGAGTGGAGATTTAGGTCAGATGTCAAGGGAAACTTCTCACTGAGAGGGTGATGAGGTGCTGGTGTGGGCTGCCCAGAGAGCAGTGTATGCCCCATTCCAGGAGGTGTTCAAGGCCAGGTTGGATGGGGCCCTGGGCATCCCGATCTAGTGCTTGATCTAAAGTCGACAACCTGGCCAAGCAAGAGGTTGGAACTTGACGATCTTGAGGTCTCTTCTAGCCTAAGCTGTTCTATGATCTCATACTTTTGCACAGAACTCAGCTGACACATGAATTAAACCTCAGATGGTGGGTAAGTAAGAAATACATTCAAAGCCGCCACTTCTGCCAGCCTAAAAGTGATGCTACAGCCCAAAAAGGAGCACAAAGTTGGGCACAGCAAAGCAGTGCTTTCATAAGAATAACCAATCAACAAACAAAACCCCTCCAAACACACTGCTCTCTCTTGGTTTGCGTCTATTACACAAGGAAACTCCAAACAGCTACAGTTACCAGCCAGAAGGCACAACTCCAAGTCATGGGTAGTCACTCTCATTTTCACAAGAAGGTGGCGGCTTCTGAAAGATCTCTTAGAGCTAACTACCAAGAAAAAAACACTCCACCGCAAAACTGATCTGCACACGCTCTCAGTTACACCTCCTGGGGGGCAGGGAGGAATGCAAACGACTTGTACCAAATAGACGTTCCTTACATTACTAGAAGATATGCAGTGGTTAGGGCAAGGGGAATACCTTGGTGTTGTTAAATGCTAAGCAATGCTTGGTGAGGACCCAGTTGTGTTAGATTTTGTTTACTGGACAAACCACAATCCTGTAAGTGATGCATTTGGAAATAACACTGTTGCAGTGCAATGTGCAGAGCCAGGCAACACTGTTTGCAGTAACCTCTTTACCCTTATGCAAACTTCCGCTAAAATAAACAGCCCTGAGTGCATACCAGTCTGGGTTTGGTCTGTAGGAATGACAGGCCCATAGCAAAGGTACCACACCAAGGAGGGCTGTTACATCCCAGCTTCTCTCCGTACTGCCAGTCGGAAGGAAAAGAGCTGATTGCTGTGGGATACTCCAGAGGCAGCACCTCCAAAAACTGTATCACTGCTGCAATTTGTTCTGTCCGGAAGTGGTCAAAAACCTAAAATATTTTATACAGCAGCTTTTTATCTTTTTTTTTTTCTCTTTTTTTTCTTTTTTTTTTCTTTTTTTTTAATGATACACTGAACTCAGTCATCTGCAAACATGGCAGCTAGGAGACAAACCAATAGAAATCTGAAGAGGTGAGTCATAAACTACTGAAAAATGGAGTTTAAAATGAAAACGCCAGCTCAATTACAACCTTCGAAAGGCAGCAGCATCACCTCGAAGATCAAAAGATGCATTGGTAACTGTTACTGTCATGTCAATCCTAACACAGCTAAGGAGGCCGCTGTTACATAGGAACTCTGAACCATTAAAAGTCTGTAGGAAAAACAGAAAACCACTGAAAATAGCTTTGAAGTCACAGAAATCCTTCCAACGAGACAGCACAAGAAAGCACAACGCACTTAACTCTGTCCAAACATCTGCTGCACTTCTGAGGATTCAGGATGGAATCTCACCCTGCCCCACGCTGCCCATACCAGTACCACACAGTGAGAGCACAGCACATCCGCTACCCAGGGCTGGCTCCGGGCTGCGGCAGCCAGGACCGTCACACACCCGCGCTGTGCAGGAATACCCTGAGGGGCCGGGCCGGGGCGGGCTGGAGCGATGTTTACCAACATGGGAGGAGCCGGACTCGGGCAGAAGCCCGGCGGCTTTCGTTTTGCAGGCGGGTTGCGAGACGGCGCTGCGCGGGGACATGGCTCGGGGACTCTTTCATCTGCTCCTCGTAAGTGGCCGCCTAGCAGCGGGGTGCCGGCATGGGACGTAGGAAGCTGCGGTAGCGGTGCCGAAAGCGCTGCCCGGCCGCCAAACAAAGAAACTCGTTCTATTTTCCTGGGGAACTCATGTAATTAATTCAGGTTCAGACTCGTAGCTATGTTACACTCACCGCGTAGGGCGGCGGGCGCTGAGGAACAGCGGTGGGAAGGAGGGGACGGGTGCCGGTGGGGCTGCTGTCCGTGGCGACGCTGCGGGGCGCGTACCGTCACGGTGAGGGGGCACGGCGGGCCGGGCCGGGAGGGCAGCGCGGAGGAACCGGCTGCGACGGAGGAGCTGCTGGTGGTGACCAGCGGTGAGCCCAGAAAATCTGGAGACGTTGAACGTAGCACCCTGGGCCGAGGCACTTACTGGAAAGCTGGGCAGGGCATTTCTTTCTTGCGTGAATCATTGCCCCGTGCAGAGTACACGTCTTGGTACCCTGAGGGCACGGGTCAGCCGCCTACGTTTATTACTACCGATGGAGATAACTTCACACCCATTTTGCCACATGGAGGTGGTTCAGCACCCGCAGCAGGGGAAGCCTGTAGGAGCATTAGACCTGAGGGCTGGGGAGAGCTGGACGCTGGCTGCAGCTGCGCCCAGCGGGGGGACGGCGGGGAGGCGGCCTGAGACAGCCAGCCCTGTGCCATGGCAGAGCTGCACCTGTCCATCCCAGTGGACACGGCATGCGTCACTGCCCCCGCCTGGCCCTCGCCCCTTGGAACGTGCTGGGATTCACACTCAATCTATTTGTACTGTTGTTGTGCTCCCTCTGAATATGAGTTGCCTTGGGTTTGGCAGGTGTGAAAGTTAGAAACAGTACAGATATGATTTAGTATACAACAGGTAGTAAACAAAAGGATTTATAGCGTGATTTTAAGGTTCTATGCACACCCTTGCACAAAGTGTAAGTAAATACAAAGAGCTGCTGACGAAGCATGCGTTATCTCTTGCTATATAGGCAGCAAACAAGCGGCAGAAACGTATACAGGCAGAATTGGCCTCGCTCAGTGTCTTAGAGCTATTCAGAACAGAAATCAAGATTTAAAAAAAAAATACATTCTCTTACCACACAGCTTCCGGAGTAGAAAGATGATTCTTATTCTTACTTTCCGATTGTTTCCAAACAGCACTCCTACATGCATTCTATTAAAAATATATATACATTTTTATTAGCATGTGGTTCCACTACTTATAAATCAGTAAGTCTGACAAATGTTTGACCTACTAACTTGATTAAACCAGAATGTGAAAGGAGTCTGCTGAATTAAACGTCAATTTTGCAAACAACCCTCTGCTGCGCTAAAGTAAAAGCAGTTGCAAGGATACTAATGCAAAACAGCAACGAGACCCACAAAACTAGAAAACATCTAACTTCACCCTAATTCAAAAACCACATATTATTCAGAGATGCACTCCAGAGAGGAATAAGCCATCTCGCGAAATGTTATCTAAATATTTGGTAATGATTTATACAATTATTTACAAAGCAGGCAGTCTTCTGGGAGGTTAGAAGATATGCCTTTGAAAACAGTGCCACACAGCTGTACTGACCCCTCTTTCTTGCTTTGCACAGGATCAATACAAATATTTAAATGTATGCATATAAGCAGCCATAAAATCATAGGATGACCCCGGAAACAACTGAAAAGTGTAAGCATTTACACTTTGGCCACAGTATCACAAAGTGAAATGGTAGCTATTACTACCTTCCAACTTTCTTAAAGTCGGTAGTGTACAGTGCTCCTAAAAAAAGAAAAATTAACAAACAACCAAACTACCCCCATCCCCAAATATGTTGCTGTGATTGGCACGTGAGACAACTGAGATGTGAAATAGTAATGGATTGAATTTGGATTGCGATTTTAAGACATAGCAGTAACTGAGGGTTGTTGCCATTGCAGGTGCTGAACACATACACTTCAGATTTCAGGAGGTTGGGATGCTTCTATTTGTGGGGAAATACCAACTCCCATTCCTAGGCCTCAGAAAATAAAACTTTCTTGGTTCTCCTCATACAAGGACCTACAACTTGAAGAAATACTACCTTCAGTGCCCACTTTGGTGCTAGCTACCAACTTCTGCATTAGTGGGGGAAAAAAAAAAAAAAAGAGATGGGGGAAAATTGATACTGGAAATACTGGAAGCAGTAATTTTTGTTGTACTGAAAGAACTGAAGCAGAGAATACTTGTAACAGGCACTATATCGTTTCTTACTCTGAAAAAGCATCTTGAAAGGTTTGTGTAAGTGAGACTACTTACAAGGAAAACTGTACTAAAGTGGAGCTAACTCTAGAAATTCAAAGAAATAACAGAAGCAAGTTAAAAAAAAAAAAAGGCTAAGGTTTTTCTTGGCAAAAAAAAGAAAGAAAAAGAGAAAATCCTCAAATCCTCCCTCCCCCTCTTTTCTTTTTTTAACACTTAGAAAGCCCCTGATGACCTCATGCATGTTGCCCCAGGTAATAAACATGGAAGGAAAATAGTCACCAACTTCTGAAAACATCAGCTCTCTCATCTGTAGGCATCTATGGCTTAGGAATGGGGAAAGTGGCTTAATAAAGATCAAAGGTATTATAACAGAAAAAAAGCAGTGACAAATTTTTACTTACAAGGTGAAATATCATAAAGCTTTAAAAAGGCCTGCATGCAAGTAAAAGATTCATGCACTTCCATAATGATCTTACAGCCCCACAAGGTGTGTCTGCTGAAAGGTTTCCAGTCAAGGAAGTTGACCCATTATGAAGAACACTTGGATACAGGAAGAATCTGAGGACTGAGAGTTACAATACCACAAGTTTTCAAGGGAACTGTAACTCTTGTCATTGCTTTGGGAACATAGATGGAGACAGATCTTCTATCTCTCATGCTGTTGCAGAAAGCATTTTGGAGGAAGGAAAAGAGGAGAGGGAGAAGATAAAGGTCTCTCAAATTCCTATGCAATGCAGAAAGAGCAAAACCAAAAAATTTAGGCCCATGCAATAATTCTTATGGAACCTGTTAAGATCAGATCTCCCTGTTGACTGCTCAGTTCAGTCAATTTTTAGATATGAAAACTGTTTTTTAGTTTAGGATGAGTAGAACAAAGCATTTGTGAATCATTTTAGACTGAAAATACACAGCCTCTATTTGAACATACACATCATAAAAAAGCACCTTTCACCCCTGCCTCTCTGAAACCCCCTAAAACACTTCCTTTCTGCTGGCTGCACTCACTGCTCAGCAGCAGCAAGAAAAAGAATTAAGCTGTGCTCTGAATGCTAAACAACAGTTCAACACTTATAGAGCAAGTGAAGTTATCTTCATAGAGTGCAAAACCAGGAGGAAAAAAAATTCAAAATAAAAATGTTACTTGGAAAACTAAAATCCTCTAACTTCTGTCATTGTTCCTTATGCAGGAAGGCCCCTGCAAGCAAAAGCTATGTAGGTGTTGGGTGCTGCTTAAAGTCAGGTTCTGAGAAGTGATCCCCACTTCTTGTAAGTGTACCAGGAAGTTCATCTCTGCAAGTGACAGTGGCGGGCTTCTATCAAAAAAAAAAAAAGCAAATTTCTGCCTCTCCCCACTCTATCAGCTTAGTTCGTCTATATAAAAATGCAAAATTGAGTTTTGCTTGGCAGAAGTATGTCCATGCCTGCACTGTGATTGCAGTGGTTCAGTAAACCCTGAAAACAACTCTACTAACTTTAACTGATAGTAGTCATTTAGAAAGAAGTTTCCTTCTTTCATTTTATCCCATTTCCTACATGATTCTCTCTACGTTTTCTTTCACGGCACACATCCTGTTCTTTGCCAGTATCATTCAGTTCTTCTGAGAGAAGAACTGAACAATAAACCTGAGATGTTTATAGATGTGTTAGGGATGCCGTAGGGCTATAGTAATCTTCACTCTCCATTAGTGTGGCTTGGGGTTGTCCTCTTATTCCCCAAAAACCACAACTGCTGCTTCACAGCTCTAACGTGGGAGATTTGAGTGCCTAAAGCACGATAGTGGCTGCTCCCCAGCAGGCATATTACATAGCCAGGCAACAGGCGAGGGCAGATGAGGAGGAAGGAACTGCTTGGTGCTATGGTGGAGCAGAGAGTTCTGAGATGCAAGTGGGTACATCCAGGAATTGGCTACATGCTCAGGACTGGTACTGCTACTCATCACTGCTGAGTCACAATATCTCCATCAGAGAGGAGAGAACCAGCTACTTCGCCACTGACTTCCTCATGCTGCAAACACTGCTCACATCTGTCTTCTACGTGCACAAATGGGGGCTGAAAGCCTGGTGCCATTGAATTTTCTGGAGCTGGCTTCCACAGAGCTGCCAGGGCCTCCAGATCCAAATTCCCTGCACCATTTTCTTTCACAAATGGATGCTCTTGATCCAGCTCAACAAACAGTGCACCCACCAGTTCCCTCAGCCCAACTCCAGATTTGGCAGAGGAGTAGAGACAAGGGGCTCTGTCTTCATCCATGGGAAGCCAAACCAGGCTGATGGCAGGCAGCGGTGGTCACCCCTGGAAGGCTGCCCTTGAGGCCTGGCCCCCAGAGGCAGCAGCATGTAGAGCAGCACACTCCACCACCACCTGACAGAAAACAGGCACTGCGCTGCAGGGAGAGAGACCTGCTTTTTGGTAACTGCCTTCTGATTGGACTTTCTATCCCAGCTGTTAGACTGATCTCCCAGGCAAAAGGAAAACAAATCACATGTGGCACAGCAGTTTGAGAGTTTCTGTAAAAGTTTACTTGGTAAACAACTTTGCATGCAGTTTCTGAGAAGCATGTCCTGAAAGCTTAGGCACCAAAGTCAGAGTGCTGAACAAGAAAAGTCATGCACCCAGCTCAAGCATTCAGTTAGTTTTTTGGCTGCTGAAACCCCTCCTCCAGGTGCAAACAAAGGCCTTCCTAAGTTCCATCTAGGAGCTGATGGATATACATTTTGAAACAGATGAGTATTAGGAAAAGGTTCCTGTCTGTGAATAGCCTTGGAGGATCAATAGAAGTGGCTACTTGTAGAAGTCTCCAGTCAGTGTACTGATTACTTCTGCTCATCAGCTACAGATAATGCTTCCTAGATATCAGAAGCCAGTCTGAAATCCAACTCCCTTTTCCAGTAAGTTCATGATGTACACTTTTTTGCATCTAACTGAAGTAAAAGTGTTGAAGCAGTTTCACACAAAACCACGAGGATTACATGAATTAGCCACTAAATATCATCCTCTGGCAGACAAAATCAACAAACCCAGGCATTATGCAGTTTTACTTGAGGATGCATTCAAAGAAATGGAATAGGGTGTAAATTAGAATGGAGAATGAGACTTCTTTAGGACTGTATAAACATCATCTGCTGAGGAGAAAAAGGAGTTGAATTGGAAAGCAAAGTAAGAATAAGATCAATTTAGAAATCAGGTATTTGGGGTGATATTAAAGCACAATTATTATTTTTTTTCTTTAGAGAATTATTAACATTCAGTTTGCAAGCAACACTACAGTAACAAAAACATAAAATATACCATTTGAAATAAGGATATTCTGTAAGGAAGAATGTTACCAATGACTCAGAAAAATAAGATTATGGAACAGTGATGTGATGCACAGAATGCTCTTCAAGAAAATAATGGGAGTTTCTTTGCTTTGCACCATAACTAGGCATATGAGGTTATCTTTTACATCTCAAATGTATGGGCCTGTTCTCAAGCATTAATTTTCAAACAATCAGTGCCTGCAATGGTAGAGATGATAGCATTAAATCTGATATGTCTTCTCATTTTCCATTAACTCTTCTGACCTAATAGACAACTTTAGTAAGGGGGTGAGTATCAACATCTTTAGCAATGGAATAAGAGTGCTGATGTAGCTCTGTGCTAGCAGTAACATGCACCCACAGTCCTTGGTAATTTCCTATATAATTTGCTGTTCTTCTCTCCTAGGTGGTTGCGTTAGTTATGGAAACACATTGCAAAAATGATACAGAGATTCCCATACACACAGCACACAATAAATCTGTTACAAGGAAGAGAAACATTGCTAAGCAAGAGATTATCTGTGCAGAGGAGGAGTACATTTTAAATGATCAGTGCTGCAAGAAATGTAGACATGGTGAGTATCATTGTAAGACTGTGCTGAAAAGTCTTAAAAGTAGAAACCACAACACATGCAGATGCTTTCTTCTGGGATTAGCTCAGTTATGGTCTTCTGGATGCACTTCATTCTAGCTGCATCTTTCTCTATTGCAGGACTTCAACACATCAAAAGCATTTCTTGATTCAGTGCACCTGTAGCTTTTCACTACAGATCACACATCAAATGCTTGCTGCAAATAATAATAATAGTCTCACGTTACTTACACAGCTTTAAAAGAGGTTAAAAAACTGCAAAAATGGGGTTTTGCCAACAAGATACTCTATATATTCATGGGTTTTCTAATTTTGCATGCACAGTTTTGTTCGGTGTGTTTTCTTTCTCTCCTGGATTGGAGAAGGGGGGCCCCCCCCCCCCAGAGAGGTGGAAATAATCTCTTACAAACACTGCCCTCCTGAAGAGAATACATGTATGCATAACGAATATGGATTCTATCTGTATTTGTAAACTGAAAGGTATTAGAGATTAAAAAGAAGTCTGATAGGTCTCAAAGCTGATGGCCTTTGTCCAAAGGTATTACATATGTTTTTCTTGTTTCTCTGTCTTTCTGCAGGTCATGTCAAAAGTACTGAGTGCCCAAACACTCTAGCACATTGTGTACCATGCAAATCTGGAGAGGAGTACATGGATCATATCAATGATTTGGACAAGTGTATGAGATGTCGTTCATGTGACATAGCACTTGGTATGTCTATAGAAACAACAACTCTGTTTAGAGGCAGGATTCAATTGAAAGATCTCTTCAATCCCCAAGTAACAGGTAGCATATAGATCAAAACGTTTTGCAAGTTCGACACGGAGAAGTTTATGACAAAGTCTTAAATTTATCCTCTGGTTTCTTTTCTAAGCACAGAGTAGGAAGAGGAACAAGGTAAGTTGCCCCATTATTTATTCTTATATCTGTCTTTGCTCAGTCAGGAAGCATTTGGAGAGCAACATCCCATCTCTTCCACACTTGCCTCTGCAGTGCCTTTCTTCACACAGAGGCAGGAAATCCAACTGTCCTGAGGCACTCTGATGTTGCTAGTTTGATTTACAGCAGTTAATGCTTATGCACTAACCTCAACTTTGAGTTATGATATATTCTTATTAAATTGTCTTACAAGCACTGTATTATTTTCTGAGCTATAGTGAGGGACTCTACAGATGATGATTTTATTTTATGTAGTAGTCCACTTGTTAGAAGCATGACAAATATCTTTACCCAGTAACTTCACTGATAATAATGTAGGGAAAAAAAAAAAAAAAAAAAGACTGACAGGATACCGCACCTTATTCCCTCCATCAATCTTAAGATGCAGATAGCTTCTGAGTTCTCAGAGGTCATGTATCCCCAGAAGAGTGTGTTTATCTTTAACTGCCCTCTAAGTACATAGAATTATAGAATCACTCAAGTTGGAAAAGACCATTCATTGAGTTCATTGAGTCCAACTGCAACCAACCATACTACCCTAACTCTAGCAACCCTCTGCTAAATCATGTCCCTGAGCACCACATCCAAACAGTTTTTAAACACATCCAGGGATGGTTACTCAACCACCTCCCTGGGTGGTTGGCACAAAAAAAAACCATGTTGGTAGTAGTTTTGAAGTGATGGTGGAAAAGTGAAATAGAATATAAAAATCAATTCAATTCTGAGCATGGGCTTCTCTTCTCAAAAAAAAAAAAAAAAAAAAAAAAAGAAAAAACCCACCCAATACAGAGTGGTTAGAGTCAGTGAAGGAAAGTTGCTCTCTCCTCTTCATTCTCTGTTTTAAAAGGAATGTTGTAAGAAGTAGAGAAGGGAGCATTCCCAGTGATTTTCTTTGCAGTCTTTCACATAATTAATATTATCTGAAATTTCTGGAGCTGATAGAGTGATGCTTTTTATACATTCAATATACAGCATGGAATACAGGATCAAATCATTACACTATACGGCTTGCTCTCCTGTGTCAGACAAGCAGTCACCCCCCCCAGTATTCATCAGGCAAGAGATGCTATTCACAGAATCACAGAATCACCAAGGTTGGAAAAGACCCACAGGATCACCCAGTCCAACCATCCACTTATCACCAATAGTTCTTACTAAACCATGTCCCTTGACACAACGTCCAAACATTCCTTGAACACCTCCAGGGTCAGTCACCTGCTCCTGGTGACAACACTGTTTCTGATGCAAGCCAGGATGCCACTGGCCTTCTTGGCCACCAGGGAACACTTCTGGCTCATGTTCAGCCAAACATCAATCAATACCCCCAGAGTAGAAATACACAAACCTAATTTCTGTGTTCTAATTCCTGCAAAGGCTGCTAGCATTCACAGTTGCGGAAGAGGATGTTTGAAGGTCCATCTCTACCTACGTAATTTCCTATCTATTAATGAGCCCTTTGTGTATTTATCTGCTGGTCTCACCAAGTCTCAAAAATCCAGTGACAGTCATATATATATATATTTGAATTCATAAAACACATCTCCCTGCCAGCTTCACCAGGTTTCTGGTATAGCTGGATTCAGGGAAGGATAGTTCTGCATTCATCACATCAAAAATCCAGATTGGTAAGCAGGGAGACAGTTTTTAATTCCAATGCAGTGGAAGGATGGCTAGTCACATTATCTCATGGAAAATAATGTTGAAGAGAAGTTAGTTAGAAAGTGCTAGGCAGGAGGAAGGCTACCACTTAAGCTCCTAGAGGACCATTCTTAGGATCACTTATGTTTTGTGTCTTCATGAATGGTTTCAGCATTGGTTTCACAGTAATCAATTTTTAGAAATAACATGGTTTCCTGTTATAGGAGGACACTGAATATGGTAACTCAAAAGTTCCCTTCATATCAAAGAAAATAGCTTCCACAGTAAATAGATCTACTTACAATATTTTAAAATGCAAAAATACTTCTTTTGAGATGGAAATCATCTCTTCATACACATTGAGGCCAAGAAAAAAATAAACTTTTGGTTTGAAACTTATGCAGGGAACATGTTAGATAGAGGGAGTAGAATTCCTCACTACTGAAGGTTCTCAGGAAGAGATAAAACCTGTCTGACAGACAGACAACCAGGAGGGTTATGTGATATCTTTTAGTTCTTTCTGGCTTTATGCCTTTTTCCTATGGGGAGAAAAAAACAACAAACAACAACAACAAAACTGACAACACATGGCAATGCCAAATGAGTCCTTTACTGTGTGATCAGCTTTTTGAGCTCTTAGCCAGCAGAGGTCTCTTTGCCATCTTGGTGTTTCCAGTACTCTCAAAGCAAGGCTCATCATAAAAGCTACGTTGTTGTTATTAAGTGCTGCCAGCACCAGCAGTGGTGGTGCTAAAGACATGCAGGTCTGAGGACAAGAGCTTGTAAGCAAAGAATTGTGTTTTCAAACTAACGAACTTTAAGAATTCATTTTAGGTTGGAAGGTTGTAAAGAACTGTACCCCAACAGAGAATACAGAATGCTCCTGTGCAAAGAACCATTATTGCAATCCTCCTCAATGTGAACACTGCGAGTCATGTACCGTGTAAGTGGATGCCTTCATTGTTAAATATGACACTGTTAAGATCATGTTACCACACTTTTTTTCCAGTCAGTTTCAAGACAGAGGCTATGATAATATATAAGCTAAGAGAAAACAGACTAGCTTTGCTTTGCACTTAGCATATTCAGCTGGCTTTGCTCAGTGTAATTAATTAGAATGTATGCAGAAAAACATAAATACTCTTCAAAACTTCTAATTAAGCATCTAAGCTTTCCTGTTGCTTTTGCATTATCTACTGTTATGTCATTTCCATACTTTCTCCCATACTGTTTTTCATACTTGTTAAGTTCCGAAGTCTAGCATCCTGGTGTATGACACCATCGGCTGATTAGAAAGCAATAGAAGATTGTGATTTGCTCTCTTAGGCAATTTATAAAGAGAGAAACAAATTCCAAAGTCATTTATATTTTCTGCAGATGTGAAAATGGCCTAGTTGAAAAGGAATGCACTTCAACTTCAGACACTGTGTGCAGAATGCAAGGTACCATCTTAAAACCTAGTATGGACTACCATCTGCTATATTTTGAGAGGCTATTGGAATTGTACTGTGTCCTGCACAGTGCCCCATAGCCATTCCTAACACTATCTGCTGGGCCTTGTACTGACTTATGGACCATGACTGCTCTTTTGATCACAGTGGAGATGGGGTGGCTCAAGTGCTACCTTCTGCTATTTGGAGAGAGTAGAAGGGTGCCTATAATCTGATGAAATCTTGTTAAATTTTTCAAGTGTGTTGCTGTATTGCACTGCTCGGCCTAGCTTTACTGTAATGTTTCCAATGTTCCAACAGAAGCAGGAATGCCACCTTGGGGCACCGCATTAATTGCCATATTTGTGATAGCATTAGCAGCCGCAGCAGGATTCATATTCTACCGTAAGTGATTCCCTGTTCCTTGTTACTGCCATACTCTGAATAAGATATTCAGCTGCTTACTCAGATGTAATTTTATGTTTTTGGAGTCCAGAGAAATACATTGCCCTGGATTATTAAAATGTTTTTTTTTTTGTTTTGTTTTATTGTTGTAGGTAAGAGAAAACGGGAGAATATTATTACCCAAGGTAACACAGCCACTGGTAGAGACAGTTCTGATGTAAGTACTATTGCTTAGATCAGATAAAATTCAGCTTGGCGTGGGGAACTTTGCTCCATTTAAATTACTGTGGGATTGCCCAAGTGTGTGCATGCCTCTCTTCTACGACGTCAGTGAAGTAAATTTCACTGTGAGGAATCTTGGCAGAAGCAAAAGAAACTCCATATCATTTCTTCAGGATTTGCTGGTGCACCCAGTTACATGACCAAGATCAGAAGTTCATAAATCATCACACCTCCACTGAATTGATATCCTATCCCTGTGCATATTTTTATTCAATAGCAATTGTGAGGTGACTCCCCAAGCTTACTCAAGTGAAAAGAGGGGTCCAGTCTGATTCCATATCTCATAAAATAGAAGAATCACAGAGAAAGCTAAAAGAAAATTTCAGAAGTGTTATGACAACTATTTATTCTGTTATATGGGGTTGGCCTTTTATAAAACATTTTTGCACTCATTTCTTGCTTGCTTCTCTTTACAGGAGACTTTAACACTCGTATCTATAGGTAAGAGACAAGTTGTTTCTCAAACTTCAGTAAAATAAAAATGCAGACATAAACTCTATTATACTAAAGAAAGGGTATTTTTCTGTATAGACTGCCACTTTGTAGAGCTGTCACTCTGGCACAACTGTGAACACTTATAGAAATGCCAGGTCATAATGTGCTTAAGGCATTTAGTGGTGCCACTAAACTTTTGCCTGAGGAGGAGTTGTTGTTGTTTAGGAAGCAACTACTGATTGACAGCAGGTAAATTTCTATTCTGTATATGGTACAGACACTAGGAGGCAGCAAGCTGGATTTCTGGAATCACAGATAATTCTAATAATTGAGCAGCCCTGCAGCCAGCAATGGAATCACAGAAACCTATCTTAGCACAGGACCTATCTTATGTTCATGAGCAAAAACACAGTGGTAACACTCAACAGGAGAACAATACAAGCTCTGAGACAACGTAATAATAAAAGACCTGTCTTGCTCTTTTATCTGCTATTTTGAACAAAACAGGTAAATGAGGAATGACAAGGCTTTGTAGTGGTTACATATGATGAAGGGGTTACAGAGGAAACAGGTTCTAGTTCAGGTGCCAGAAGGCAATAGTTACTTAGTACAGAATCAAATTGAAAACATATGGAGTCATGAATATCTGAATCTCGATCTGTTTTAAATAGAAGTATTAGCTCTGAATATAGATGATAAGGAAAAAAAAAAAAAAAAAAAAAAAAAAAAAGGGCACACAAAGCCAACAAACAGATGTCAGTGTCCAGGGCATTCATTTCTTTTCATGTTTCTAGATGATGAGCTGAGCCGCCATATCCCTGACATCGTGAGGGAGATGACGCTAGATGAAGTCAAGACATTTGTTCGTCATCACGGGCTTTCAGAACCTACCATAGATGAAATTATCCAGGATAACTTCAATAACACATCTGAACAGAAGATTAAGCTCTTTCAGAAATGGCACCAAATGCATGGGATAAGAGGAGCCCACGGAGCCCTAATAAGCAGCCTGAGAGATTTAAAAATGCGTGCACTAGCTGATAAAATTGAGGAAAAACTGAAGGCAGCTGTTTCAAGCCACCAGGAAAGGAGGGAGTCTTATAATGATAAAACTATGCAAAGCAATTCCTACAGTCAGGAAGGTGGAAAATCTTATCACGATAATGCTGAAATAAGTAAAACCTACCCTGAGAGTTTGGAAGAAACATAGCATAGAATTATATTAAAATTATTTCTGACTGAATTAGTATTTTTTACTACTACAAATAACAAAGCTTCTGAAAGCCATTTTGTTGGCAGCTCAGGGAGTTTTTCAGGGTACTTATAACACGAAGAATAGTTTGGATTTTTGTAAAGGTATGTTTCCCTTAAAAAGAAGTCTTAACTGTTTATTTTGATTGTTAAAAACAGGACAGATTTATGGCTTATTAAAGGTAACAATAGAAGAGTTCAGCCATAGGACTTGCTACAAAAAGAACAAAGTAGTCACTGGCAGAAAGGTTTAACTCAAATGTGGTAGTCCTGAACACTGACTCAATGTAGTGTTTCAATTACATTATAATTATGGGATGTTACATTTTTCAAAGTGAAAAGTCTGATGTTAAAAGTCAATGAAATAAACAAGGAAGAATGATTCAACAACAGCAAAATAATAAACTTTTGTATAATATACCCCTAATTAATTCTAAATATATATATCTTAATCATAGAATGGCTTGGTTTGGAAGGGACCTTTAAGGATCATCTGCCATGGGCAAGGTTGCTAACCACTAGATCAGGCTACCCCAGGAACCTTGTTATAACACCTCCAGGAACTGGGCATCCATAGCTTCTTTGGACCATCTGTTCCAGTGCCTCATCACCCTTTGAGTAAAGAATTTCCCCCTAACATCTAACCTAAATCTCCGCTCTTCTAGTTTAAAAGCATTCCCCCTTGACCTATCACTACCTACCTCTGTAGAAACTCAATCTCACTCCTGCTTATAAGCTTCCTTTAAGTACTGAAAGGCTGCAGTGAGGTGTCCCTGGAACCTTCTCTTCTCAAACCTAAACAAAGCCCAGCTCCCTCCACCTATCTCCACAGGTTAGATGCCATCCTCTGGATCCACTCTAACACCTCCACATTTTTCCTGTGCTGGAGGCCCCAGACCTGGATACAGTACTCCAGATGGGGTCCTCACGTCCTCCCTGATTCAAGTGCAACACCTTGCATTTGTCTTTGTTGAACCTCATTATGCTCATGCAGCCCCACTTTTCAAGCCTGTTCAGGTCCCTCTGGATGGCATCTCTCTCTTCTGTGTCAGCTGTACACAGTATTAGTGTCATCAGCAACTGTGCTGAGAATGCACTTGATTCCATCATCATTGATAAAGGCATTACAGAGCACTGGTCCCAAAATGGAATCCCAGGGGACACCACTTGTGACAGGCCTCCACTTGGACACAGAGCAGCTGAAAAAAACCCTCTGGCTGTAACCATCCAATCAACTCATCATCCACCAAATAGTTCACCCTTCAAATTATTTTCTCTCTAATTTAGAGATGAGGATGTAGTATGGGAAAGCACCTGTGGTTTTATATGTCTATATTTATCTGAATGTATAGATATGTTTTCTTTCTCAAAGCCCTCAGTACTAAGTAAGATTACTTCCTATATTCTCTGCACTGATTACAAGCCTATTTCCACACTAAAAAAAAAAAATACAAAAAAAATATCCCACAAATACAAAACCTTCAAAGAATCAGAAATGAGAGATAGAGTGGCACAACAAAGCGATCGCTACTTTAAGGCAATCTGCACAAACTGTGATGTCTCCATACCCAGATGTGTAGCAGTCAGCACCATGTTTTGAAAAGAATAAAAAAATATAACCGACCAAAATCTTACCTTCCTTTCATCACAGATTCCAAAGGTCTCCTAAATTCAATGATCAATAGCACTGAGCTGCTTTGCAGTGAGGCTTTTCTTACTCATGCACAGACTTACGCTATCATTCAAAATCTTTCAGCAGAAGACCTTACTGGAAAGGTTAGATTTTTTTTTTTTCCACCCAGGACCTTTTTTAGTCCTACCATCCATTCCCTAGAAGGAATTTCTTATTAAGCATCAAGCAAAACACAAGAAAACCTTTCCAAAAGCTGAAGGCTGGGGTCTGTAATCAGGTTCAATTTTTGCCACCTGGCCCTAGGGTGTGGCCAGAGCAGAGTGGGTATACAAGCAGGGAGCCAGGTGCTGGGAATCAACCCCAGTGCAAGGCTGAGTGTCCACAGGTGCAATACGGATGCTCACAAAGTCATGCTGCTGGCAGGGCAGTGTTTAGCCCCTGAAAACAGTTGGGAGTGCAACCACAGTTCTGAGTGTTGTGCTAAGCTAAAATGAAGAATAGGGCTTACATTAGTTTCAATAACTTACAACTTTTCATAAACTAACTTGTCCAATGTCTGAAGGTCACTAACTATTTTGTTGCCAAACCTGGCTTGGCTCTTTCTCAGTTTTCTAACACCACAGAAGTCCATGAGCCTGGAAAACCCTTCAAGCCTGCATTACAGCCTTTTTCCTCTAAATATTCCACTTTTTCTACGTGACCTGATAAGTCAGCTTACCAATACTATACTACCAAATTCCCCACAGTGCTGCTTTTGGGCAACCATAGCTGAACAGTTTAACATATATGCACTTGGACATTTAAGGACTAACTCCACAATGTGGTTAAGGCATTGTGTTGTATAACTGGCTTGTGTCCGTTCTAGCTGTGTACAGATCTGATACTCTGGAACAGTGTGTTACTCATTGCCATGTTTTGATCAGACTCTATGTATAGGAGAATAAACTGTCTGCCTTTTGGAAAAGCAGCACAGCAGTGGTGTAGGCAGTGCTGTAATTGTTTCCTGGGCTGCAGTTATGCAGAAGTACAGCCAAAACAGGAAGGAAGAAATGCTCTATGCTCTGATAGCTCCAATCCTGGTAGGCAGGCTGCTCCCAGTACCACGTCCCACCCAGGAAGACTTACATATAGCTTAAAGGTATGTTGGCATTTGCTTGACTTGAATCTTGGCTTTTCTTGGTTTCTGGCTTCATCTCTCAAAGATGGCATCTGGTCACCAGAAACCAAAGTTCTTAGGACTTTAGTGTCAGTTAATATAACTGGTCTGAATAAGACAGATTTTAAAATGGAAGCAGCAAATCTCATAAACTGTGGCAGTGAAATAGAATGTGGATTCTATCTTTCAATACATTGGAATTCCCCAACCTCAGTAAAATGAGGACGGTTAACTTTAAAAAAGTCCCTGAACAATGAGTCATATTCTCCTTAGGAGACATCTACATGGCTGAAACCAGGCTGCCATGAACTCTAGTAGTCAGCTCACATTCTAATTTTTTTTCTTTACCAGGACATTGTGCAACAAATAAAAGGACTGATAGTATCATGAAGTTGTCTTTTCTAAGCACTGAATATATGTCTACATTGACAAGTGTAAAGCTACCTGTCAAGCTTAAAGAAGTTGGACCAGGGACCAGAAGTGATTTAGTTCTGCTGAGTCACACTAGCACATCCAAATTTCCATTGCCTCCTGCTTCTGGCCTCATTCTCAAATTTGGACTGCAAAAGAAAATATCACTAGTATGGTGCCACCTTTTGCTCTCACCTTTCCTTCTCCAAAAGTCTGCAGCGAGTTTCATGCTGATGAGATGGCAACCACCACAGCTGCTGGCTGAAACTTATTTCTGATATCTTTATCCTGTGCGCTGCAATCTACACACAAGCAATAATTAGCTTCTATCTCCTCAGTAACAACGTTGTGTAAACAGACAGCCATGTAAAATAATACTTTTCAGCTCTGAGGAAAAAGGAAAAAAATAAAAATTAAAATAAAGAAAATGGAAAACAAAACAAAACAAAAAAAGCAACAGAAATGGCATTGACTAATACAGCTGTACAGTTAGTAGAAACCCAGCACCAGAAAAGCAAGTGGAAAGTGAAACAGAAATTTGTCCAGGGAATGAGTTGGCATGTTTTGAAAAAGGGGAAGCTCCCTCTTCAGGAAAGCAAAATTTTGCAAAACACCTGCATTTATTATAGAAGAAAATAAAAATAGAAATAAAAATAAAAAGGAGTGCAAAGCCTGAAGGATGAAGTTCAGTCACCTGCAAACTGAAGGTGCCCCCATGAGAGATGAGTCTACTCAGAAACTCATGCACTCCTAGCAGTGCACACCCAGCCATCGCCTCACCCATGCTGCAAACAGTAGAATGGTTGCTGCAAGCAGACCTGACCTGATGGACAGCAGCGAGATCACAGTGACAGCCTAGCACCAGAAGAAAGCAGGACAGTCCCAGGATGCCTACAAAGACAGCAGTACTGCTGTAATCGCTGTTTTAAAGTCATACTGCAGGCTGCCAGTTCGTGAAAAGGCACAGCGGAGAAATAAAGTGCTTAGGACAGAAACAAAAATGCTTCTTTGCAGCCAATATGACAAGCACACTAAAATGCGAGAGAGCCATAGCTTATTTTCCTGCATGGAGGAGACAGAAGGAATACAACAAAAACAAATTTGGGAGAACAATAAAACTGTGTTGCAAGAAGCTTCAGAACTGGACAGATGTCCATTTTGAGGAAAGATACAAACTTATAACATACAGCCCTCTCTTACTGTTGTTAGGACTTTGATTCTGGACTTGAAAGGGGTGCTTCCATTCCTGCTGTCCCACTGCAAGCAAGCAGAAAAGTGCCCTCTGCATGCATCTGGCCTCCAGCACAGAGCTGTGGCTGAGAACTAAGAGAGATGTGGGAACAATGACAAAACCTAACGCACAAGCAGTATGTTCTGGATAGCTTTTCAGTGGTTTTAGTTCCTTTCCAAACTGAAAGCATGGTTTTTAATGCAGACAGTGCTGGAGGGCTCTTTCCCACAGCTTTAAGCCAAGGCTTCCTGCACCCTCAGTGAACCGGTGACTGTGACAGAGTGCTGTTCTTCATTGAAGGCAGGCACAAAACACTCTGGTGATGGCAGCATTCAGAACAGAGGGCACTGAACAAATCCAGGGAGGAGGCTGATCGAAAGCCAAGGCAGAAGGGAGCCAGAGAGCAGAGCTGGGGGGCAGTGCTTGGCCCCCTGCATAGTGAATCTCATAGCACACCGAGGCCCTCCTTGCATCCTTGTACCCTGAAAAGCAACACATTTCTGATTGCAAACATCTCACCTCTTACATTTGCTTTTTTGGCCTTATATAGGGTGTAGGAAGAAGGAAGACAAGCCAGGAGGTTATGGGTTTGCCTCTGTGATGTGAGAACAACAAATACTTGTGTACTTTATGGAGGGGTGTGACTGGGTTTATAACAAAGAGTGTTCTCTTGTATATAACGGATAGCGGTCACTCAATAGTTGAGTATTTTTGAACCTCTCAATCAAATCTCCTCACATTTGAATTCCTCTAAACTTGGAACTTCCAAAAAGCAGAACTTCCCACCACACCAGAAGGGCAGCGATCGGGGCCTGGTAGGGGCAGCTCAGCAGGTGGCAGCCTGTCACCATACAGTCCATGTATGCCTCTTGCTGGCAGGACACTGCTGTCTCACCCACGGTCTGCAGCAGGGCATGAGGCCTTGGCCTTGCTGTGCAGAGCTAGGCTGGGCTAATTCCAGCTCCTCATGTTCCTCCTGCAGCCACATCCATATCC